ATTCAGGAATTTCAATAAAAGAGAAAACAAATTAAGAGATGAAGACTAAAATGAGAAGGAACATAAGAGCAAATAAGTACCACAAATTATGCTTAAAAGAAACAGACTATGGGAAGCAGGAAGACTTCAATCAAAAAGAAATGTTGAGGGCCAGGGATTTAGCTGAGTGGTTCCACCTCCTGCCTTGCAGGCACAAGGTCCTGAGTTCGATCCCTGGTACCAAAAACAAAAACAAAAAAGAAATGTTGAGACAAAAAAAATGTTGAAGGAAAATGATAGATATAGAAAATAGGCAAATAGGAAGATTCAAGATACAGACAATGGGAATCCCAGGAGGAAACCAACAGAGCAGTGGAACAGAACACATAATGGTTATAATTTTAAAAAATCCTTCTGAAATGAAAATGTCTTAGAACTATGTAATAAAAAAGCACCACTGCTCAGATGGAAAACCAATCAACCCAGCCTAAAAATGAGAGCAGGAGGGGTGTTATGCAAAGGTGACATAGCCACAAGACCCCAAACACACAGGGCCCCAACACCTAAATGTGCACTAGAGCCACAAGAGAGACTCAGAGAAAGTGGGAGGGAGTGATTGGCTAGCCCACCCCCTTGAAACACACAGATCCACAGCTCCGGAGCCCTCTGCTGAGTGGCTTCTGGGAAGAGTGGTATGGAGAGGGACTTTTAGGAGTTTGAAACCAGCATTGCCCACAGGTCACAGGGATAGTGCGGCAGCTTCACAGAGCTGCTCCTGCATTCTCTCAACACCCACATGGTTCCTACATCGCGTCTCAGATGCCCAAAGCTGGTGCTTTTGGACCTCTCCCCAGCTTCTGCTTCGTCACCTGCTGGGATGCTTCAGGTGAGAGACTGCAACAGCTCTCTCGGGTCTTTGGGCTGCAGCAGCCCAGACTTACATACACAGGCACACACGCACTCTGCTCCTCCTGCAGGGACACGCCCCGCATTGCACAGCAAGACCCTTATCCCAGGAATACATAGAGGGCCTCTGTGTCCGGTCCCAACTCAGACGGACACAGTTGCATTTTGTTCTGAATAGCAGAAACGGGTGCTGGGAGAACAAAACTTTAAAGAAGAGACTCTGAAAGCTGTTGTCCAGCCTGATTATAGACAAAGGTATTCATTACCTCACTGCCACCAGTAAATGGGGCATTGGTCTTCTCACACGCATGCAATCCAGTCACTTAGGCCTGAGCTGCAGCACCAGATCATGGTGGTGAGGAGGAAGAGTTTCATGCTGTGAAGTGCTCAGCCTCTTCCCACTGCACTGGACAACTTGGTGGAAAACAAAACAAAACAAAACAAAAAAGCACTTGATCTCCAGGATTCAGATATTGACTCCAGAACCTAAAATATCAGAAAATACTCGCTTCTGCCCCCAAAGAAGCCCATAGCTCTTGTAGCCACTGAGTTGAGATTTTGGGAAAACTAACCCAATTCTGGTCCTGTGGGTGGCTAAATTACAATACAGTTACAGTGAATTCTCAGTAGAGGAATGGTGGATTGGTTCCAGAATCCCACAGACACCAAAATCTCCAGATGCTCATTTTTCTATAAAAGAGCATAGTGCCAGGCATGATGAAGCACACCTGTAATTTCAGCATTCAGGAGGCTGAGGCAGGAGGATTGCTTGAGCTCAGGAACTCAAGCCTGGGTTACGTAGTGAGACCTTGTCTCAAAAAATGTATGATGATGATGATGATATGCATGGTATTTGCATAAAACTTATATCAATCCTCCTACATTCTTTAAATCATCCCTAGATTACTTATACTACCTAATACAATATAAACACTATTGAAATACTGCAGTTGTTCTTCTGTGTTGTTTTGGGAATCATGACGAGAAAAGTCTAAACACATTCAGTAACAGTATTTTTTCAGACTTTTTTATCTTAATATCTGCAGTGGGGTTTATTGATGTATTTAGTTTTTAGGGAGAAATCAAGCAATGGTTTCAAATGATGTGTTCGTTTTAAGTAATTATTAAAAGTAATATAACACCAATAGTAAACAAAATTTGTGAAAGGAGGAAGAATAGTGCCAACCCAAGCATCTTTGTACAGCTGTTTGAATATTTTTCCTATTTCCACTTATATTGTTACATATTATATTCAGAACAGCATAGTCTAGTTTTCTTTCTTTTCTTTTCTTTTTTTGCTCTCTTTCTCTCTTATTTTCTGAAGTGATTTGAATTCTTAGGTTGGACTTACTTTGTCCAGGCTAAGAAATTGTTAACCTCATAATCAGAGGAGCCAGGTGATCTGAAAGAGGCAAAGCAGACACCAGACCCAAGCTGCCACAGTCCCTGTGGATCCATGTGAAAGCAGAGCCTGGCCAGTCTCTCTGGAACTCATTGTGTGACCTTAAACAAGCAATTTAGGATTTTTCTAGTTCTCACTTCATACATTTTTAACATTTCCTTTTTGACTTCATTTGTTTATTTTTTACTTTTCTTTCTTTCTTTTTTTTAAATTTTTTTGTACCGGGGATCGAACTCGGGACCTTGCACTGGCGAGGCAGGTGGTGGAACCACTGAGCTAAATCCCCGGTCCCTATTTTTTACTTTTATTAGTACCTCTTTGCAGTATACAATGATCACATATAATGGTGAGTTGGTACATACACATAACACATCTTTTTTTGTTGAATATTTTTTTTTTGGTACCAGGGATCGAGCCAGGCATGGTGCCACTGAGCTAAATCCCCAGCCCCACATAATACATCTTAATTCTTTCTATGTCTCCTTCCCATCCCCATCCTCCCTCGTTCCCAGATATTTTGATCCAAGGTTGGTTGAATCCAATGATGCAGAGCCCCTGGATAAAGAAGATCCCTAGATTTGAACTCATGGCCACACAGCCTGTCTTTGGTCAAGGTCAGGGGACTGATGGGAGGGAAAAGAGCTCTGAACATGGACACAGGGTCCCTTTGGAAAGACTCCGATGAAGCTGACAATGTTGAATCTCCACATCCCACAGAATCTGGCCAGGAGAACAGCCCACCACCCACCCCACACATAGACAGAAAACCTGACCCATGAAGACGTGTGTATATAACAAAAGAATTACAAAAGCAGAGTGAGAGAAATGTCAGGTTGGGCCAGGTTTTATTTTCTCTATGTGAATGCACTCACCAGCACTCTGAATTCAGTATTGTTAAACTCAGCAGCCATTTGGAACTCCAAAGTGTCTGGGGCCTAGGAGCCCTTAGGCACACAATAGTGGAGCCACTGTCACAGCGAGAGCCAGAGGAGCAACCAGGATGGCCTGACCCACAGGCCAAGGGCTCATGAAGTACCTGGAGTGAAGTATGTGGTTTCAGCACATATAACTGCTGGTATTTTTGCTTGAAAAACTGAAGTTTAACATGGCTTGTTCTAAAAGATAGGCAGCTTACCAAGATCTTGCTTGATTTGAATATACAGAACACTAGATCTAGGGGAACAAGGGAGGTGGGAGGGAGAAAGGAAGGAAGGGACAAGAACGCTAGATCCGATGATTCAGCCCCAACTAGGATCACCATGGTAGAGACTCCAGTTTCATATGGGTCTTCTGACTGTGACATCTTGGTATCTTTTTTTTTTTTTTCAAGTACTGGAGATTGAACCAGGCCCTTTGCACTGAGCTACATTCTTTTTTTTCTTAGACTTTTATTTTGACATAAAAATCTCATTAAGTCATTACATTGCTCAGGCTGAGCTCCAACTTGGAATCCTCTTGCCTCAGCCTCCCAGAGTGCTGAGATTAACAGATGTGCACTATCATGCCTGGCTTGGATGTGGTGTCTTTACTGCAGAAAATCAACGCAGCTATCAATATCTGGAAAGTATTTTTTCCTCCATTTTCATTATTTAAAATTAAATGAGAAGTTTGCTTTTACAAGGCAGTGATAGCAATACACCTTCACAAACTCACCACCTCCATCATAAATTAGTTAGGAACTTTGATTACCTCACCATTCCATAAAATGACAAATGGTCTAATATACAGTTTTCTCTTTACCCTTAATGATGGCCTGAAAATACCAAATAGAAAAGTCCAAAAATAAACAATTCCTAAGTTTTTAAATCACTGGCCCTTATGCATAACATGATGAAATCTCACCCCTTTCTGTCCTGCCTGGGATGTGAATCATGCTTTATGCTGTGTATCTACCCTATATACACCACCTGGCCAATAGTCCCTGAGATAGTTGGGATCTTGAATGTCCCCAAAGGCCCATGTGGGAAGTGATGGAATCTTTAGTGGGGCCTAGTGGAAGTGAGGTCACTGGGGAGGAGATGTGGGGACCCCAGCCCCTGCTGTTTCTCTCTTTCACTTCCTGGCTGCCATGAGATGACCCTCCTCCTCTACCATGTGCTCCCACCATGATGTCCTGTACTGCAACAGGGCCAAGCCACCATGGCCAAAACTTCTGAAATCAAGAGCCAAAATAAACCTTCCTTCTTTTTAAGGTATTTGCCTCAGGTATTTTGTCACAGTGACAGAGAGCTGATAAACACAGACTCTTAGTAGTGCTCAGTGTTAGATCAACTGTCAGGGTGTCACACTAGTGGTGTCAAGTAATGCTATATCTATTTGTTTCTGGTTTGTTTTGGGGGGGGGTTTGGTACTATGGATCAAACTCAGGACCTTGCACTTGCAAGGCAGGTGTTGGAACCACTGAGCTAAATCCTCATTCCTAAGTAATGCTTCCATAACAGCCTAACGCTACGTCTTGGGGTTACAGCACCACCTCACTTCATCTCACTGTGTGTCTTATTTACTTTTCTCATTACTGAGACAAAATACCTGATACCCAAAGGGGGAAAGATTTATTTGGCCCACGGCTTGTAGAGGTGTCATGCCACGACCCACATGGCTGAAGGGTACACAGAGTGAGAAATGACAGTGGGAGATTAAGAAAAGACAAAGAGATACAAAAGGTGGGGCCAGGTGGGGCTCTTACTCCTGATGGAAGAAAAATACAACCATGGAACTGCAGCACTTTTATTTATAGTGGTAGAGTTATGGGAAGTGCAGGGAGAGGTAAAAGGGGCTAGTCTGTAACCAGAGCCAGGAGAGTAGCTAAGGTCTGCAGGACATCATGCTTGATGGTTTTCTGGTGACTGGGTGGGAAGGAAGGCAGTCCTCTTCTCATCCAGGCCTTGCTCCACCACGCCCTCTTGTTCTCCTCCTGCAGGGCCCTGCCTCATCTGCAGGAGGAGGTGAGTTAGGCCTGGTCATAGTGATCTACAGCACAGTGCTCCCAGCAGTGTCAGTCCATAGTCAGCTGGCTCCAAGGTAGGGGGCATGGCAGAGGGGAGTTGCAGAGGAGAAACAGTTAATGACAGGCAGAAGACAGCAAAAGCAAGCAAGCAAAGTAGCAAACCAGCAAGGAGACAAGAGCAGTGTCTCTTCTCCCCCTTTTATATTCTATCTAAGATACCCAGCTTAGGGTAGGTGCCAAACTATCAGTGGACTAATTTAGTAATCACACACCCTTAATCCCAGCATCACACATTCTAGATCCAGCCAGCTCTGAAAAAGCCCTACCTATGACTTCCTGAGGCTTCATAGGGGTGGACACAAGCCATAACATTTCACCCCTATCACCCCAAAGACTCATGCACATCCCTTTGTGCAAAATGCATTTAGTTCATCTCCAAGAGCTGCCAAAGTTCTAATAGTTTCAGCATGAAAAGTCCAAGTCCAAAGTCTCCTCTGAGATTTAAGGCAAACTTTAAGCTGCAAGCCTCTGTACAATGAAAAGAAAGTTATACACTTCCAACATACAATGGAACATGATAGACATTTCCATTCGAAAAGGTACAAATAGAGAGATAGGAAAGAATGGGACCAAAGCAAGTCCAAAATCCAGCAAGGCAAACATTGAGTCCTGTAGTTTCGTGTGCAGCATCCTCGGCATCTGTGATAAGATGTGAACTTCAAAGGGCTTGGGTGGCTCTGTCTGTGCGGCACTATGGGTGGTTGTAGCTCCCACAGCTTCTATCTTGGGCCAGCTCCTTCACTGCAGTTTTTCTCAGATGATCCACATTCCTGGCTTCTCCAAACTTCTGGTGTCTCCTCCACTACAACTTCAGCTTCACACAGCTTCACACACTGCCCTCTCAGGGGCACATTGCCTGGCCTCACAGGCATTCTTCTGAAATATGGGTAGAAGCCTTCCTGACCCCACAGCTTTTGCATTCTGCATCCATCTAAAACCAGCACCCATGTGGATGAAGCCAAGGTCTGCTGCCAGCTGTGGCAGTAGCCAGGCTTCCTGCTCTCTTAGCTGTAGGGGTTGAGTGCCTATGAACTGAATGCCAAGAAACAACTTCCCTAGGGTATTGCCATTCTGGAACATGGTGCTCTAGGGCTCTCTTCTCAAAATAGTTTTTCACATTTGCAATTTTGAGGCTGCAAAGGGGTGGAATCCTGCTGGTTCTTGTGATGTCCTCAGGGCATCTTTTTTTTTTTTTTTTCTTTGAGACAGGATCTTACTATGAAGTCCAGACTGACCTCATACTCATAACAATCCTCCTGCCTCAGTCTCCTGAGTGCTGGGATTATGGGTGTGTGCCACGACACCTGTCCAGGCCATCTTTTCCATTGTCCTCTTCCTTTTCAGAAATCAAATTCTCTGCTCTGTCTTTGCAGTCCACAGTTTTACCGGTGCTTCCTTTCTGGCCAAACTCACAGTGTTTTACATCATTCTGCTTGGCTCTTTGCTCTTGATTCTCAACATAAATGCAACTAAAAGCCCCAAAGAGTAGGCATGCCACTGCCCCACCATTAAACTGTCTTGAAATTCTTTCTGCAAAACTGGTCCACTGCCCCTAATCTCAGTCTCAAGCAAAGTCTCTGGATATGAGCAAAATACAGACAAACTTTCTGCCAAGGCATAACACACATCATCTGGAGTCCAGCAGCCAGTGCAGTCCTTCTTCCCAGCAGAAACCTGAGCGTGATCTTCACCAGCTTTCTGGTCTTCTAAGCTCTGACCAGAATCTCCCATATCATATGGCCTCAGGTATTTCATGGCTGCTTTTTTAGCCCGCATCTGTGAACCTTTCCAATCTGTCCCACAAGCCAGTTCCAAAGGCTCCTGAACCACATGGTCAGGTACAGTCATAGCAGTGAGGATTGTAATTATAATAGTTGCTCCTAATACAATTCCAATGTAGTATAACGTTGATAGACTTAATATTGATTAAGTATTGTTAAACTTATGTTACAATGTTCAAGTTATGAAGTGTTAAGAGTAAGCATCACACAAAGAAAACTTGCCTTCTGTTCTAGGGAGGGAATTAGTATATTTCTACTTATATGCAGAATAGTTATAGCATGTTAGGCATAATGATGAACTTGTCTTTGTATATGCAGATTATGGCTTAAAGAAATGTGTCAATTGTCAAGTTGACAAGGGGTGGATTGTGGTAGTTGATTGACTGTGTCAATTTCAGTAAGTAACACCCAACTAAATTGACTCAGCATAGTTTTGGGAGTGGAAGACCCAACCTAGGGAGGATTATCACCAGAATGCTATAAAAGGGAAATGAAGAAGGAACATTGCTTCTATCTTCTTCAGAGGAGTTCCAGTTTTCACATTGAGCCACATCCCCAGCCCTTTTGTTTTGTTTGAGATAAGATCTCTCTATGTAGGTCAGGCTGGTATTGAACTCAGTATGTGGCCCAGGTTGGTCTTAAACTGGGGGAGATTCTCTTGCCTCAGTGTCCTTTGTGCTGGAATTACAGGTGTGCACCACCACACTTGGCTTGCTTCTCTTTTTTCTTTTTGAGACAGGGCTTCACTGTACAGTTTAGGCTGGACTTGAACTCACTGTGAAGTTTAGGCTGGCCTTGGCACAGTGATCCTCCTGCCCCAGCCTACTGAATGCAGGATTGGGGTGGAGGAGCATCGTAAGGGAGCTATATACCACACCCAAATCCCGTAAGGGAGCTATATACCACACCCAAATCCCGGGCTCCCTATGCTGCTGTTTTAAGAGCAGGAGGGGCCTGGTGCTGCCCCTGGTGTCTCTTCAGAGGTGACACCTCTGCATGCTTCAGATCATCATGCCCTAAAGCTCCACAGAGATGTCAGGCTCCCTCTGACAGGCCTGGGGCTTACAAGATGTCTAGGATGCTTATTGTTTCTTGCTTATCAGTTCCAGCCTGCACAGTGCTGTCAATGCCATCTATATCTTATCTAGAGGGGACATGTTCCCAATCCCGCTACCCTGTATGGCCACCACAGTGAGCAGAGCCACAGAGAGCAGACTCTGCCTGGCATTCAGGCTGCTGTCCTCCACCATCCCATCTTCCCACCAGGACCCGGGGACCTGGAAAACCTAGGCACATGGGGTTCTATATGGAGCCTTCAGCAGGTTCCTGTAGGTGTCCTTGGACCAACCATTAGAATTTGGGAGCCATCCTCTGAAGATAACTTCTTTTGAGGCCTAGTTTCCAGAAGCTTTGGTGATGGGCCCCAGGTCAGACCCATTTTGACCATGAGGCACAAAGTTATCAAGTGACCCCAGTTGCCCATCTTGAATTAAATGTGTACCATGGACATCATCCATGGCAATGGGACAGATAGGGTCAGACTGGAGCAGGTCCTGAAGGCATGGGTAAGTGACTCAGACCCTCACGGCACCTCCTTCACTCTGTGGCTCTTCACCCATGGTCCACCCACATGACGTCATGGGGTCTCTTCTGACCAGGGACTGAGGAAGACACACTTCACACCTGTTCTATGTGTGGCTCTGCGGATACCCCCTGAATGTGGATAGATGTCACCTTACAGACTCAGTAAGGGTGGCTCTGGAGGTCTGGGGACAGAATTTTAGACATACACCCCACTGCTCATTAGACATGAGAGATGGTCAGTGATGTGGATCTACCAGGACCTGCAGGCAGAGTTCATAGATGGTTGACAATGTGGAAGGAACCACACTGGACAACTTGCACAACCAAGGAGGCAGAGGACTCTCTTAACAGGCAATGAGGACAGATAGATAGTGTGTCTCCTATAAATGCTCACCAAATGCCAGTGTCACAGAGGAAACTCTCAAAAGCTGAAGGCCAGGTGGCCTGTTAGGAGGGACACCCTACCAGCTCCTCTCAGCCTCACCAGGGAAAGTACTCTGATAAGCTGAGAGCCCTCCAGCTGCCTTTTCTGGGGCCCCCGATTTTGCATATCCTCTGAAGGGCAATGGCTGGCTGAAGACTGGACCTCCCAAAGCAGGGTGGGAGTGAATTTTGACAGCTCCTTTCCTTCCCCTGTCATGTCCCTATTCCCCTGTAGTGCTTTTTGGGGACACCACCCAAATAAACCTTAGCAATGCCCCAAGAGGAAGCTAAAGGGTGGTGCATGCCAAAGGGACAAAGAGCAGACTGCTGGATGTCGATTGGCCCCATCCATCCTCCTGAGCTTCAGATCCTGTTCCCCAACTCCCTGCATTGACATTGCCTGGTTAGGGTATGCTGATGAGAAAAACCCGTAGTAACTTTGGAAGGTGGGCAAAGAAGGAGCTATTACTCAGGATGCCATGGCAGCTTAATGTAGTGGCTTCATGGAACCATGAGCCTCTGCTTCAGGCTTGAGTGGCCAGATGCCCCAGCTGCCCAGCCTCCCTCAGCTGTGTGTCTGAGGCAGGGAACTGCCCAAGTCTGGGACTGATCTGGGATCTCTAGATGTAGCTTCCAGACTGCCTTGCCTGGGCCCTGCCCATATCCCTGCACTAAAAACCCTATTGAAGGAGCACAAGGAGGGGGAGGAAGGGTGAGAGAAGGAGAGAGGAGAAGGAGGGGAGAGAGGAAGAGGAAGGAGAGAGGGAGGAGCCAAAGAGGGAAGGCAGAGAAAGGGCGGGAGGGAAAGAGAAAAGCAAAGGTTAAGATGGACAGGTGAAGTAGAGGAACACAGATTAAAAGGAGCCCCAACTAATGAGCCTTGTGTAAACCCTGATTCTTACACACAGATTTGCAAAAACAAATAAAGTTAAACACTGGCTATGTAATGATGATTTTTTTTCTTTTTGGTACCGGGGCTCAAACTCAGGACCTTGTACTTGTGAGGCAGGCAGCAGAACCACTGAGCTAAATCCCTGGCAAAATTTGATTTCCTATCTGATTGGTTTCCTGTCTTTTTGTGTGTGTGTGTGGAACAGGAAATCGAACTCAGGACCTTTGCTTGAGAGGCAGGCGTGGTGCCACTGAGCTAAATCCCCAGCCAGCTATAATGATTTTAATGAATCCTTATTCATCATTTCTAGAAAGATAAGGCTACTGTGGCTTCCTAAAGGTAATTAGTATGGAGGCTGTGCTGAGATGGCTACAGAATGGGGCCCTAGCATCTGGGTTCCCTTCCAGCAGGGAGGGCAGAAGCAGGGAAGGGTGCAGGGGTTGGATGTGTGGGAAGCATTGTGCTGAGGGCAGCAGGGAGCAACTGCTGCTGCCTCCTTCTCTTAGGGACGCTTGTGATTGCATGGGCCACCCGGATAATCAATAACATCTCTTCGCAAGACTGAACTTCACAGCTGCAGTCCCTTTGGCCATATGTAATGCCACATACACTTAGGATCTATGGATTAGGGCATCTTTAGGGTTACTAAACCCACCTCCCTCCCTCCCCTTCCACCGCATCAGTGTCTGTCACCACTTCTGCTCTCTTTTCTTACTGCTCCAGTCCCAGCTTGGAATTCTTGTGTTAATTTGCATCTTGCTTATTACTTGTCCCCAGACCCTCACATCTGGTTCCCCCACAATTCTTTCCACAGCACTAACACTGTTGGTGTTCAGTAAATATGTGTTAAGTGAACATAAAAATCAATTGTTAAACCAGGTACAGTGGCACACATCTCTTCATCGCTCCTGGAGTTTGAGGCAGGAGGATCACAACCAGCCTGTGCACTTTAGAAACTTAGCAAGCCCCTGTCTCAAAAATTAAAAAAATTTTTTTTTTGAAAGCTCAATGTGAAAGCCCAAGTTCTGAAAAAAAAAAAAAGAAAAAGTAGAACAAATGGATGGGTAGATGGGTGGGTGGTATAGATGAATCAACGAATGTATGCATGGGCAAATGGATGGGGTGGCTAGACGGATGGATGGACAGATGAGTGAGTGGATGGATGGATGGATGGACGGATGGATGGATGGATGGATGAGTAGGTGAATGGGTGGCAAGACAGATGGCCAGATAGACATATGAACAAAAGAGTGAATGGTCTCCCACGTGCAAGATAGGAGTACAGGCTTCTTCTGGGATTGCCAAGATGCATCTTCCATCACAGGGTAGGCCAGCCTGGCTGAAGGAGGGCAACACAGAGGGAAGAAGGGAGCTGGATTCACCCTTTACCATGAGGAGGAGCAGACCAAGCACACAGTTTCTTGTCTCCTGGAGAATCTTCACTCCATAAGGGCCAAGCAGAAGGGGAGAGGGGTGCTGGTCCACAAGGCCATTTGAACCACCCCATCCGTGCCCATCTATCCTGTTCCAACAAGGAGGCCATCCATGTCACCATGCCCAGAGTGGCCCTGGTGCCTTCTTTATTGTGGCTGCATTTTTACACCTGTTTTGTTTGATTCTGGGCTGCCTCCCAACTTGGCATCAACTCCCTGAGAGCAGTGGCCCTGCCTGTCTTGTTCATCAGTGTGGAGCCAATGCCTGGTACTCTGCTAGCTGCAGAGGCCCAGGTCCAGGCCCAGGGAGGTGGTCCATGTCCACCCAGTCATCCAGGGAAGCAGTGGTCAACCACTGACCCCAGAGACGAGACAGCTTTGCTCAGAACTAGCCTGCTAGTCCCACAGGACCCTAGAGAGGAAGGTCCAGGCCTACATCCATGGGAGGAGTCAGAGGGAGGGGTGCAGACAGCTGAGTCCATCTGTGAAGCCCTTGGCAGGGCACAATTAAAGTTCTTTTCTACTGGGAGGGGCAGAGGAAGACACTTGATGGCAGGTGGTGACCATTCAGAGCATGGGGACAAAATGTGAAAGTTGGAAGAGCAGGGATCATGTCTCAGTGGCCACAGTAGCCACCCTGCCCAGCCCTGGGCTCTGGTGAGTGAGCAAGTGAGTGAGTGACACCACTCCCACCTTCCAGCTGGGTCCTCTGCTGTCCCTGCAGCAGCCTGGCCCCTGAAACCACCCCCATGGCCCCAGCTACACAGTGACTATATAGACACACAGAGGCTGGTGTAGACTATGTATTGGTGTGCCCCCAAAATTCGTATGTTGAAATCCTCACCTCCAAGATGATGGTGTTAGAAGGGGAAGCTTTGGGAAGTGATTAGGTTGCAAGGCTGGCACCCTCATAAAAGGGACCCCAGAGTGCTCCCAGCTCCTTCCCCCATGCAAGAACACAGCAAGAAGGTGTCATCTGCGAACCATGCATGGGGCCCTCACCGGCACCAGGACTGCCAGTTTCTTGCTCCAGGCCCTCAGCCTCAGTGCAGTGAGGTGTAAGTTCCTGTGGTTTATAACCCCGACACGTGGTTTTCTGTTACAGCTGCCCAAACAGACCCGGACAGTGGCAAGAGGACTCCACCAGCTCAGGCAAAGGACGACTTCGTTCCACTTACAAGCACCTCTCTCTTGTTTTGAGAGAAACAAATTTCCATACCAAATAAGGCGGTGGACTCCAGAGCCACTGCCCACTTCACACAATTCCTTTTAAGTGTCCAAATCCAATTACACTTGGAACTCGCCTGGATTCGGCCTCCCCCGGCCCTCCCAGTGTAAACAAGCAGCCCAGCTGCGCCCCAGCTGCCCGCCCCCTGGGGAGGCAGCCTGTCGGTCACCACCCTGCCTGCTGCCACTCCAACCTCTCATGGCAGGGAGTGGCCCATGAGCCTCCAGCATCCCAGAGCCCCCTCCTCTCAGAAGCCCCCAGCTGGGCTGCGCAGGCAGCAGTCTGGGGCTCCCTCCTGCTCTTGGACCATTTCGCTGGGCAGGGACAGCAGGTTCCTCCACAGGCAGAGGCAGGAGGCTTCCGGGCAGGTGCAGGGAAGGGCTATTTCTGCACTCTGCAAGATGCTCCCAGAGATACCCCCTCCCCCAATCTGGACACCATTTGCTCCCACAGGGAAAGTGTGGAATCCCCTCCAGCTCATGAGAAAGGTCATGAGAAAGTTGGCCCAGGGTGGGAGGGCCCATTCTGGGGTAGCTCCCCACCCCATGCTCAAAGCCACCGCCCCGGCTCCTGTACCCTGCCCCCTCCCTGGGGCTGGCCACTAACACGTTCCCGGACCCCTCCATGGGTAGGCTGACTCATTCTCCACCGAGCAGCGCACACTCCAGGCACCAGGCATCGCCGCAGCCAACTTCCCTGCTCAGCCCAGGCAAGCACTGTGATTTTCCACTCATACCATCTGATTGCTATTAGGGCTGGGGAAAGGGAATTCCTGGTTCCATAAGCCCATGGGGGGCCCAGGCAGGTTCCAGGGTGGGAAGAAAAGATGGGGTGCATTTGGTGCTGCTATTGTCCCTCTGCCAATTCTGCACCACCCTCCATGGAGCCCTCACCTGCTGCTTCCTAGTTTCCTTGTGTCAGCCCCTCAGTCAGTGCAAAACACAGGGTAGAGATGGCCCCTCCAGCCCAGCCTCAAAATCTCCGCTGGGGGAGGACCAAAGGCATCAGGAAAGTGGATAGTCCAGGGCTCCCTCTATTGGGCAGCCTCACAGAGCTGCAGGATTTGAGAGAGATTAACAGCTGGACTCAGGCCGCAGTGCTCAGGCCAATGCAACGTCACCAGGCAGAGAGATGAGTTCCCAGTGGGGCTTTGGGGGGGCTCCTGAGCGGGGCATTCTTTCCTGAAGCCTCATCAGGCTCAGCCCCTCCTCCTCCTCCTCCTCCTCCTCCCCTTCCCCTCCTCCAGGGCCTGGAATTGGGTTTGGGGCGGGTTCTGCTTCCAAAGCCATCTCCTCCTGCAGGCGACGGCTCGTCCTCCACCCCAGCTCCCTCTCATTTTCTGAGACTCTGGGCAGTGCTTGGACTGGCCTGCTGCCCTGGTGGGTCAGCCGCTGGGAGTCCCAGGAGGAGCCCTCTACAGGGAAGGCCTCCTCGGACCAGGACAGCTGCAGGTAGCTCCCTGGGGCCCAGGGACCAGGGGAGGGCCATCCCAGATTGGGAGTGCAGGGTGAAGGCCAGCAGGGCAGGAAAATGGGGTGGATATTGTCAGGGCAGGGAGTGGGCACTGTCAGGACAGGGAGCGAACAGAAATCCCACCTCTCCAAAAGCAGGAAGCCGGAAGAGTAGGGCTGTCACCTACCAGAGCACTTCTGCCACTCCTGAGGCTCCTGGACTCCCAGAGGCACTGGGGGACTTTCAGAGTCCCCCTCCTGGGTAGCAGGCCCTGACATCCCCCTCCCTAGCTGGCCTCTCCCCAGCCCCAAGCTGCCCTCCACTGCCAGTCCCTGCTCTGTCCTTCTTAGGGTGGGGGATCCCCTATCCCTCCCCCAAATTCACACCCAAGTGTGCTTTCTGGAAGGCCTGGAAGGGAACAGCCAGCAGGCAGCATCCCAAGCCTGGGGAGAGGCTCCCATTACTCTCACACACTCCTACCTCCATGAGGGCTGAGCCCCAACTCAGCTCAGGACAACAGCAGAGACAGCCCCAGATGGACACTGGGGGAAGCACCTGGGCAGCCACAGGACACTGGGCAGCTGTGGTCCCACATTCTCCCTGGCTGGTTTCGCTGATGCATAGTTGGCAGCTAATGCAACTGGTTCCGAGCCAGGTCCTGGTCCTCGTTCATCTAAGTTGTGAGCAGGGAACCTGGGACCTAGAATGAGAAAACACAGGTTTGAGAGGGGAGCAGCAGACAGGCATCTCCCTTGACCAGTGGCCTCAGGCCCAACCAGCGCAGATGGCCAGGGGGCGGGTGTGAGGACAGGGGCCGGGTCATGGAGGGTGGGGGTGAGCAGAGGTGAGGCCGGAGGAGAGAGGTGGCCAAGCCATCCTTGTTTGGGGGGTGGGAATCGAGGAGGCAGCCTTAGAGGGAGCCAGCACTGTCACAGCCCTGATCCCCCCAGAGGAGCACACACATCCCGTACACGTCACACATATGTCTTTAATACGGCCCATCTGGGGTCCACTTGGCTTCTAGATCTCTCTGTACAGGAGTGAAATCTTTTCAGATTGTCTCGGCCGGACAAGGACCAGGATAGAGACACACAGATCAAACTGATCAAAAAGGTGAGCAGGGACCTATAATGCATGCCCACTGTGGGGAGTGCTGGTCAGCCCCTTGCCCCAGGGCCGCCTATGATTGGGGTCCTCACTCCTGGCTGGAGCGAGGGGCTTTCCTGAGTCAGGCCAGCCCTGGGGGCAAAGGTTGGGGCTCAAACCTTGGGGTGGTGGTCTTCTGGAAGGGACACCAAGAAGAGCCAGAGCAATGGAGGGCGCCGGGGGACGCTTATCTGCAGCCAGGTGGATCTGGGGGTGTAGGGCACTGGGAAAGCTTGAGCCAGCCCCACGGAGCTGGAAGCATTGGTCGGACAGTGGCCCGACCAGAGTCCAGATGGTTGGGGGAAGGGCGGGGGGAATAAAGACCTATGCTCCAGTGACACCAGCGGTCAGCAAGCTCACTGCACACACGCAGACCCCACGCTGACCCGGGCACAGAGGGGCGCAGACGCCCTGAGGGCGCAAGGCTATGCAGCACCCAAAGGTGCGCTGGCTGGGCAGCCAGGGGTGGCAAAGCAGCGAGGCTTCAGGTGGGAGGGGACCGATGGGCAACGCTGGGTCCTCCGAGACCCCGGGCCCTGCCCAGCCGCCTCCCGCCGAACTGGAGCCCCCAGCTCCGGGAGCCCAAGGGTTAAAGAGAGGGCGGGTTACTCTCGCGGACCGATACCCCTTGCAGCCAATGACAGGCGCAGCTGCCACGGCCCCGGCCCCGGACGGGAGGAGGCGGCGAGCTAGTGCGTTTGGCGGCTACAGCGAAGAAGGAATTTCGAGGGCCTGGAGCGAGCACGCTGCTCCGCGCTCAATCGTGGGAGGGTGAACCCAGCGGCCTGCGGCCCTTCGCACAGCCTTGGTTTCCCCACCTGGTCGAAGGGGAATTTCAGGAGACCCAGGGTGGGCCGACCAGCGAGCTGGGCTGCAGGGTCTCCCTCTCCCTAGCTTGTCACCCCTCCCAGGCCTCCCTATTGGCAGTCCAGTTTCCCCTCTCTCAGCCTGGAGCCAGGGTCACCGTGGTCCTCCAGGCTTGCTTCCTACAACTGTCTTGGTAATGCGCAGATGTACACAGCTTCAGGGTGCATGGGGATTGTGAGTGTCTCTGGGCAGGTGACTTCTCTGCCCGAGCCCCGTGCACCTGTCGAAGGAGAAAGAGGGCACCTGCCCATGGCCCGTTTGAGGGACACACTTGAGGATGGATGGAAGTCGGTAGGCAGGTGCTCAGCTGGCACTGGCTGATGCTAGGCTTGGTGCTAATGTCACTGATCCAGAGGGCTGGGTGGTCCTGCCTTCCAAGCCCTCGTAAGAAAGGAGAGAGACTAGATGCTTTAGCATGTACAAACCAGAGGCCCAGCCAAAGGCCTCCTCCTCCTGGAAGTCTCCCCTGCCAAAAATGATCTGTCCTCCTTCACTACCACCTGCTGCTGGGCCAGAGTACTGGAACCCCAGCTTTACACTGGCCTAGGACACAAAGACAGAGCTCAGGACATGTTGGGGGGGGGGGCGCAAGGGTAAATACATGTGTGTGGGCAGAAGCAGTCTGGCTTCACAAATCTTGCAAATTAAGTAAGAAGAGGAACAGGAAGGGCTTCCCCAGTGAGGGGCCATGGGGCTCCAAAGGGCCAGCAAGGGTCAAAATGAGGGGTCCACAGGCAGGAGGAGGCTGTGCCCCAGGGTGACCTGCTGAGGATCCCTACAAGGACAGTCCCACAGAGCCCTGGGCTTGGAGGGAAAGGGGGATTGCCTTTCCTCTAAGGTGAGAGCCACAGGGGCAGAAAGCCCTGGGGTCAGGGGTCTGGTAGGTAGGGTGACCCTGCTGCCTCATTCCACCCTCTCTGCACTCTTGCCAGGTGGGCTTGCAGGCTGGTGAGCCGTGAGCAGGGATCTGGACTCACCAGGCCTGAAGATGGCTGGAAACTGCTCCTGGGAAGCCCATCCCACCGACAGGAACAAGGCAAGTGTCACAAGGCAGAGGGGTCTCTGGGCTGCCTGAAGAGTATAGTGGGGGGAGCAGGCTGACCCCGAATATCCTCCCCCATGTCCTGCCTCCCTGGCTCACCTCCAGCTCTGGACCATGTGGCCTGCTCCTGGTTACCTGGTCCCTTAGAGCCACTGCCCTCATTAGTGAAGCAAGCTTGGACATTGGCCACCCTGGAAATCTCTTCCCATACTGTCCTTCATCATCTTTTACCAGCCATGAATGGTCTAATTCCATTCCTCCCCTGCAGGGTTGGGCAGTTGGCTGCCCACTATGGCCAGGCCCTGCCAGGAAGCCCTGGGTGCTGGCTCTGGGGTGACCCTGACGTTGTGAGCTCCCAGACCCAGACCCACTGTGGGCTGCCTGTTATTTGCAGGTTCATGTCCCTCTGCAGACATTAGCCCTGCCTGAGAAACAGACAAGCTCTCCAGGGTGACCCTGCTTCCCACCCTCCCTCTCTCCAGTCACTACTTCTCAGAGCCCACTAAAAAGTCAGGAATTCCCTTCTGAGTCCCACCAGAACACTCTCAAGTTGAAAGCATCCCTCAAATTTACCTATTCCAACGTCTTCGACCTTGAGGCTTACATCAGGATAGAAACTGGACTCGTGCCCAGCCCCCAGGATTTCCCCACCCCATACTCTCGACCCTTTCCCTCCTCCTCAGGGTATGCAATGTGGAATTGGAGCAGCCCAGCCTGGGAGCAGAGATTGGATGCACTGGGGGCATCTCCAGAAGTCCCCAGAGCAGTGACAGTGGCCAGGGAGGGGCAGGCTCCAGAGTTCATGTTTTACAAGGCAGTGTGTGTCTGGAAATAGCAGCCCCCGCCCAGTGAGTCACCCAGCCTCCCTCTCCTCTTCAGGAGGGAATTGCAGGCTTTTTCCAGCCTGAGAGAGCCCTGGACTGCTCTGCCGTCTTGCTCCCTCCCCAGGGCCTGTACCCACCGAGTGGAGCCCGGGAGTCTTGGAATAATCAACCCCCCAGAAAAGGAAGCAGAGAACAAGTTAAGCAGTTGGATGTGGGAACGGACAGAGGCAGACAGAGATGTTGAGTTGATGAAAGTGTGTGAAGGATGACAGGTGGTGAGCAGGACTCCATAAAAAGCTCACCCTGAACAGCTTGCAGAGTGTCCCCAGTGTGTAGCTGGCACCTCCAGTTCCTATGTACAGATCCCCTTGACCTAAACCAGGCCAGAAGATTCCTGACAAAGGGTGGTTTCTCAAGACCAGCTTTCTGCAAGAGCCATCTGAAGGCAGCCGAAAGGATCTTGCCTCTAGAACCACTCTGTGCATGTCCATGTGCAGGAGTTTTCCTTTCTGTTTGTTTTGTTGAAGAGCCCTGAGCAGTGGAAATGGACCATCCTTGGGGAGCAAGGGCTGGGATAGATTAGTGTTGTCTGCAGGGCTGTGGGAAGGGCAGTCATGTACTCAGAGCAGCCTTTTGCCATGAGGAATAAGAGAGGCAAAACAACCCTAAGAATGGAATCAGCTGAGATGGGTTGTATTTTTCAAATGTTAACATTGAAAGATTGGGACACTGCACAGCACAATGCAGAGTTCTGACTGCTCTGGGGAGCAGAGAGGAGGATCCAGCTCTACTTTTAGCTACCCCCTGGCTCCACCCACCAGAGCAGAGCAAGCTGCCCACCTTGTTCAGGATGGGCACCCTTGGGTTTGCCACTGTGCCCCCACTCGCCAGTTTCTGGCCCCTGGCCAAGCTCGTGCATTTACACACCTGCCCAGACCCTGCAGGCAGGACTGGTATTCAGCTGAACTTTTTTTTTTTTTTACAGCTTCCTATAGCTGGATGAATAGCAGATGTCACAAGTTTTTCCCCCTCTCCAGGGATCCCCCAGGCTTTCCCACAATCCACAATCCTGACACTGCCTTCGATCTAAGTTCTCTCTGGTCCTACTCTGGGGCAGATCCTACTCCAGCTATGGCCAGAGTACAGTTTTCTTTTTTTCTGGTGTTGGGGATTGAACCCCAGGAGCACTGAGATACATCCCCAACCCTTCTTATTGTGAGACAGCATCTTGGTAAATTATTCAGGCTAGGTTTAAACTTGCAGTCCTCCTTCCTCAGCCTCCCAAGTAGCTAGGATTACAGGCATGAGTCACCATGCCCCGTTGGATTTTCTTTCTTCAAAAGTAAATATTTTGTATTTTTGTTTTGAAATACTGAAAGAACAGTTTGCAAGTAAGGAGGTGAAAATTCCTATACTGTTCACCTCCCTTCATTTGTTGTCAACTTTCCCCCACAAATACTTTCTTTACATAGAAAGTATCATTTCATACATAGATTTTTTTTCTTTTCTTTTCTTTTCTTTTTTTTTTTGGTACCAGGGATTGAACTCAGGTCCTTTCGCTTGTGCAGCAGGTGGTGAAACCACTGAGCTAAATCCCCAGCCCCATAGATTTCTTTCCTAGAATCACTTAAAAGTAAATCACAGACACCAAGCTCCATTACCTCCAAATAGCCTGCATCTTCTGAGGACAAGGACATTCCCACGTGTAACCCGAGTCCATTTCCATCTTCCGACAGTGTAACGTGGAAGCAGTACCATTGTCTATACATTCAGTGCTCACCTTCTCCTGTGGGCCTGCCACCTTTTGGTAGAAATTGCTTAGGTCACAGCACTGGTTCATTAGTCCTGTCTCTCTGGTCTCCCTCAACCCACAAAACTCCTGTTTTTCCTACTCTTTCGCCACGGGCCTCTTTAGGCAGAGTCTATTCTAACTGGTAGGCAGTGGGGCCCCTGTAGGTGGCTGACTGCTATGTGTCACTGTTGTAGGCGCAGCATTCTGTGCCGCTAGCTCAAGCCTCTGGGAAACAGTGTGTGTCAGGTGATAAAGGGGCTGTTTTCTGCTTGGCCACAGTCAGTGACCCTACAGATCCCGCCCCTAAGCATCTAATGGGGACCACGGGGCCCAGCTGCAGATGCAGGTCTGGCGCGGGCAGGGAGGGACAGCCACGTCACCAGTGTCTCCCTTCTGCACCTGCACAGATGTGTCCGGGCGGGGGCGAGGCCTCAGAACTCTACAGTCGAGGCTTCCTGACCATTGAGCAGATCGTGGCTCCGCCGCCCCCCGCCATCATGGACTACATTTTCCTGCTGCTTTGCCTGTGCGGCCTGGTGGGCAATGGGCTGGTCCTCTGGTTCTTTGGCTTCTCCATCAAGAGGACCCCTTTTTCCATCTATTTCCTGCACCTGGCCAGCGCTGACGGCACCTACCTTTTCAGCAAGGCCGTGTTCTCCCTGCTGAACACGGGGGGCTTCCTGGGCCCCTTTGCCAACTACCTCCGCAGCGTATGCCGGATCCTGGGGCTCTGCACATTTGTCACCAGTGTGAGCCTACTGCCTGCCATCAGCACAGAGCGCTGCGTGTCCATCATCTTTCCCTCCTGGTACTGGCGCCAGCGGCCCAAGCGCCTGTCGGCTGTGGTGTGCACCCTGCTCTGGCTCCTGTCCCTCCTGGTCACCGGCATTCACAACTACTTCTGCGTATTCCTGGGCCGTGAGGCCTCTGGGGCGACCTGCAGGCACATGGACATCTCGCTGGGCATCCTGCTCTTCCTCCTCTTCTGCCCACTCATGGTGCTGCCCTGCCTGGCCCTCATCCTGCACGTGGAGTGTCGTGCGCGGCAGCGCCAGCGATCTGCCAAGCTCAACCATGTCATCCTGGCCATGGTCTCTGTCTTCCTCGTGTCCTCTATCTACTTGGGGATTGATTGGTTTCTCTTCTGGGTCTTCCAGATCCCGGCCCCCTTCCCTGAGTATGTCACCGACCTCTGCATCTGCATCAACAGCTGTGCCAAGCCCATTGTCTACTTCCTGACTGGGAGGGACAAGTCACAGCGGCTGTGGGAACCGCTCAGGGTGGTCTTCCAGCGGGCCCTGCGGGACGGCGCCGAGCTTGGGGAGGCCTCGGGCAGCACGCCCAACACGGTCACCATGGAAATGCAGTGCCCCTCTGGGAACACCTCCTGAGCGGCCTGCGCCTGGGGCAGTACAGAGAAGGAGTGGCCAGTGACCTTCAGAGATGCTCTGCCGCAGGACTAAATCAGGGCAGCGGCCTCCATGCCCAGGTGGAGGGAAAAGGTCTGTCTCCACCCCTCGTGCCTCCTTCTCCCTGAGCTGCGGGCTCCAGCAGTGACTGAGAGGCTGAGCAGCCACCTGCAAAGAGAACTAGTGGCCCTGTGCCCTCCAGCCACTCTGCTTCGGTGACCCATGGTACCAGTGTTGCCCCCCTCGAGGTGAGGCCCTGTGTGTTCCTGGCTGGTCAGTAAGGGAGAGGAGGTGGTCACCCAGCCCTATCCACCTCCTGTCTCTTTGGTCAGCCCTCCTTGAAAGTGACCCAGCCAGTGCCAGCCCTAAGAGACAAGGGAATCCACCCCTAGAAGGCAGCATCGGAGCTGGTGCTCTCAGGCAAAGGGTCCCATTAACCTGCCTTGTAACCAAGTATCTCCAGAAACAACATCCGGGTGCCTTTGATGAGTCATTTGGTGACTTAATGGGGGAATGACTGGCCCAGCTGGACTGCCGGAGACAGGACCTTCGGCCATCTTGGGTTGCTGACCGCCTTCCCTGCCTCTGTGCCTGGCCAGTCCTGGACACCCCATGTGTTCCCAGGCCAGTGTGGACAATCTGGCCAGCTCCTGGACAGAGTCCCTGGACTCCAGCACCCACCTGAAAGTGGGGTCTGGATCACCCTGCCCACCTGAGGACTGGCACTGTGGTGCCCTTCAACAAGCACAGTTGCCAAAGGAAATTTTATAAAAGGCAATAAAATGTATATCCATAAACATGTTATATCTGACGGTGAGGCAGCTTACTGCACACATCCTCTCTGTGCTCCCTCATGTTGACGATGGCTGGGGTTGAGGACGGCAGGAGCCCAGGCTGGACAGCCCTCCCTACCAGCTCTCCTGAGCCATCTGCTCTGGGGCCTCCTCCTCTGGCTGGCTCTGTCCACACCTCCAGCATTCCTCCCTCTCTGACTGGCCCTGTCTACACGTAATCCTGCCTACCCCTTTCCTGGTGGGCATCAGCTCATGTCCCTGGGTGCCCACCCCAGGAACCTTAGCTCTCATCTCCACACTCAGCCCTGTAGTGTCTGATTCCATCCTGGAAAGGACACAGAGCCCACAGGGGCTTCCTGGAGCAGGCAGCTGCCTCTCTGTTACCCCTCTGTCCCAGAAACCTTGAGCACAGGCTGGCCCCTGTGTCTGGACACCTCTTTATATGCCATTAATAGGCTGGGAGACCTCTCAGTCAGGGCTAGGGCCATAGGGGTTTCTGATAGCCCCCCACCTCTGCTCTGCCCCACAGAGGCCAATCCTGGGCACCTGCTATCCAGCCTAGCACAAGTCCCCCATCCCCTTTGGGGGAAGCCCTTGAGTAGAGGCCAGGACAAAGGCTGATGGAGCTGGGCCTGTCCTTGGGGAGAGCCTGGAGGGGGGAAAGGATGGCAGGGAAGGTGTGAGCAGCAGCCCTGTCTGTCCGGTGCCTGGCATGCAGCCCATGGGTACCAAGGCAGGGGCAGGCCCTCCAAATCCATGGCCTTGATATCCCATCTCCCAGCCAGCCTGGGTTGTCCCTCCTCCTGTCCACTCCAGCCCATAGCCCTTCTGTGCTCCAGTTTCTAATGGTCCCAGCTGGTCCTCCCAGCAAGGCCACTGCTCGGCAAGAAGAGGGACCCTATGGGCTCAGGTGGAGGTGTTGATTCCAGGAGCTTCAGGTGATGACAGGCTACCAGTTCCACCCATCCTATGCCCAGTGCCTGGATGGGCCTGCCACTTTTCCTAGCCTCCCCAGTGCTGCTCAGAGAATCCCAGAGATAAGGGGTTGGATGTGGTGGTCTCCAACCTTGCAGGCAGGGTACTGGGGACGCACATGAAGGGTGTGGCTGGGACTGTCCAGTGGTGAAAGTTTCCACAGCTCAGACATCCTGGCTGCACGATCTCAGACTCCACATAGGCAGAAACACCTCTCAGCTCTGAAGGTGGCTGGGGGGCCACCAGGCGTCTTGGCTGCCTACGGTCCCTGCACCTCAGTTCCTGGGAAGTCATCTCCTTCTTAGGATCCCCCATGCCTCCATCCCTGAGTCCACTGTGGGAACAAGGGCCCTTCCGGCTTCAGCCCAGACACAGTGGGTTAGAACCAGGGCAGGGCCAGGAGGTCAGGATAGGGCTGTCGGAGGAGGTACCTGCCCTCGGATGCTGAGGTACAGGGCAGGATGGGCTCCAGGGACTGGCCTCTCCAGACCCTTCTGGACCTTTCTGCCGTACAGATCCTTCCCAGCCTCCACCCCCACATCCTGTGCTAATGGAGGCAAGGGAGCTCCAGGGCTAAATGAACAGAAACTGGGGCCTCACTGCTTTCCTCTCTCTTCCTGCACTATTTCAGCCTTAAAGTGGGCTGAGGAGGAGCGGGCTGCAGGGGCTGATGTGTGCCCAGCTGTACCCTGGCAGCACAACTGGTTCCCGGTGGACCCCCGAGCCTCCTTTCTGGGCATTTGGTATAGGCAGGAAGCTGGGGGTGCCTAAGCACCACAGGTCCCGGTCCTGAAACTCTGGAGCAAAACTGTTCTCAGTAACACAGCTGAGACTACGAGTGGGTATTCTAAGTCCAGTTAAGGAGCCTCTGGGCTGGGCTGGGCTGGGCTGTTTATTACTGAGCCCAACTTTCTATCAGCACATGAGATGGAGAGGGGGGTGCAGAGCATGGGGCAGGGCAGCACCGTACCCTTTTTCATACTTCCTGCCGCACGCTCTCTCTACAAAAATAAGCAAGAGACGCACACTCTTCTGGATCACGCAAGGGAAAAACAAGGCCAAATTTGGAAAGTCAAGAGCAAGCCCCTGGGAGGCAGAGGGCTGCCACCTTCTAGTCATGGGACCTAAGTCTTGCTGTGCCTCGGTTTCCCCATATACTACTGCACAAACCTCACAGAGTTGTATAAAGTGCCTGCGGGCTGTGCCCAGCACACCTGAGGGACCTGGCCAGGCATCCCGGAAGGATCTGTTAGTAACAGATGGAATTCAGTGCTCACAAATGGAGTTTCTTGTCCAAGGTCAGTTCCCCAGATCCAGGCCTGTTTGGAGCTTCATGTCAACACCCAAAGGCTCCCCATGGTGGCCATCTTGTGGCCCTGGAGCCTCAGACCTCCGATGGTGTTTCCCATCAGCAAGCACTGAGACTTAGACTTTGGGAGCCGATGGAGTGAATGTGCCTGTCACAGCCCCAGGTCAACCCAAATGGGCCTGAGTGGTATCCACAGTTTATCAATGCCAAAGGAGGAAGTGTTTCCGTTTCAGGCTCCATAGAAGAAGCAGAGTGGGAACAGGAAGGGGGTGCTTGGGAGACAGCAAGAGGCCCGCAGGCCCAAGTCTCTCTACTTTCCATCCTCCATCCTGGCCAAAAGCACAGATGCCTCTGGCACCAGCCCAGCTCTCCCGGCTGCCCTGCCAGCTGTGATTTTCAGATAACTTGGGTTTCATATTCTAGGCCAGAAAATTCAAGCTCAAGATCTTTTCTTATCTGCACCACTTGGTTCAGAATCCTCAGCCAAGACAATTCCTCCTTCCCAGGAACCTCAGGCTCATTGAGGAGGTGGGTGGAGAGGTAGGCCCACCCAGTCACTATCCTAGGAGAAGCCCCGGCTGGAGAAATGTGCCCTTTGGCTTATCAGTGACTGGCCCAGAAAGCAAGGCAAACCTTGCAGACAGCTTGCTGAATCAAACCCACCAAGAACACAACTGCAAAAAGAACAATATTCTATGCCAGGAGAGGCTTAAAAGTTGAAGTTGGAAATAACAGGGTACAGTTCACAAAATTAAAACTCATGGAAAAACTGCTCTGATGAGTCAGACAGCCAGCACAGAGTTTCCTGGCAATTCAAAGGCAGGCTCACCTACTTGGGCAGATTTGTTGAAAAGCCTTTGTAATTAATTTAATCAACACACAAAAGGCACCCATTTAATGTATAGTTCAGTGATCTTTGACCAAAGTTTATATGCCCATATCATCACCAAATCAATACCCAGTGTGTTTTCAGCTCCCCAAAGATCATTTCCATCACTCTCCTTCAAAGTTTCCTGGTGTCATCAGGCATCAATCCAGTGCCTTCAGCTGTCAATCCAGCGCCACCGCCCATGGCAACCATCCTCTGCTTCAGGCTTCTGTTGACTTGCCTCCCAGTCAGACTGTACCCTGTCAGCCAGGATTCTGGGTGGCAAGAAACAGAAACCCAGTAATCAAACTTGGCAGGGATAGGGTGGGTATGTGCGTATTTAAGGAAATGTACTAACTCACATGCCCAGAAGGTTCCAGAAGTGATTCTGGCCTCAGGCACTGCTAGATCTGGAACCTTAAAGGATGTCTAGGCCCCCTCTGTTTTCTGTTTCTTGTTTCTGCTTCGGTCCAAGTTGCATCGATTGTTAGTGAATATACTGGGTGGCTGGTGACCAGCAGTTTCTGGTTTACATTCCACAAACAGTGCAATCTCAGTGGAAGAGAGCAGCCCTTCCTGATCATTCCAACAGCAGTCCTGATGATCACATTGTCTGCCCAGGCCTGGGTCATCTCCCCTTGGAGCTGCAGGCAGGGCTGGGGATACTGATTGCACGAAAACCTGATGGACTGAGCATGGGGAAGTGGAGAGAGAGCTGGCAGACGTGGTGGCACTTAGGGATTGTCTTTTTTCCCCCAATTGCCTTTCATCCACACACCCACTTCTTTCCCATATACAGTTCTACAATGCTCCTGACCAAAATCTGTAGCTGTATTATTTACAGCAGAAAGTGACTCTGCCTCCCCGCCAGAGGAGAGAGAGCTGGTCAGTTGCAGAGCTGCCTCCCAGCACCAAGCCCAGTGCCAACCGTGTCTTCACCTGACCCACACACATTTCCTCTCGAGTGGGTACCCTGCTAGTTTCAGGTGGCTGCTATAACAAATGCCACTCACCAGGTGACTCAGACAACAAAACGTATTTTCTCACAGTCTTGGAGATGCAAGTCCAAGTTCAGGAGTTGGCCCAGCTGGACATTCTGAGGCCTTTCCTTGGCTTGCAGACCCCATGTCCTTACCTGGGTATCCCCCTATAAACATACAGGTTGGTGGTCATGTTTCCTCTTCTTCTGAGGACACCAGTCAGATTAGATCAGGGCCCACTCTTATGACTTCATTTTAACTTAGTTATTTCATTAAAGTCACTATCCCCCAAAACAGCCTTTTCTGAGATACAGGGAGCTAAAGGTTCGGCATAAATCTGGAGGGACACAATTCAACCCATGACAGTTCCCTATGATGACTGCTCCTAACACATAATTCACAATGGAAGGGAAAATAGAACAACAATATACTTAAAGAAAAAAACACTCCTACCTGAAAAAGGAAACAAGAAAAACAACATACAATCGCCAGGCCTCATGGTGCATTCTGGTATCTCTGATACTTTGGAGACTGAAACAGGAAGATTTCAAGTTTGAGGCTAGCCTGGGCAATTTATCAAGACCCTGTCTCAAAATAAAAAGGGTTTGGGATGTAGCTCTTGACTAGCATGTGCAAGGCCCTGGTTTCAAACACACACACACACACACACACACACACACACACACACACACACACACACACTGAATTGGCTCCACTTCATCCACCTATCACTAAAAAGCCCAGGTGTGGATGAAGAATATCACATCAGGTATCCAAGAAGAGCTGGTCGTTGGGGCCTGCATCCTGGGCACCTGTCACTCAACCAGTAATTAGTCAAGGCATGTGAGCATCTCTCTGTGTCAGGCTAGGTTCTGGGCAC